CTGGCTCGGACACTTTATACGAATATAAAAAATGTCAATACAAATATAATTCAACGATTAGGACGTTTTATATCCTTTCTAGAAGTTAGAGGTTTAATCTTTTCCATACTTTTTAGAATTCACATGATAGAATACCCATTTACAAATACAATGGGTATGGTAGCCGCCTTTAAACCAAAAAGTTATAATGTAATGAAACTAAAAAAAGTGAATAAATAATGATTGGTTTTGAATTTGATTCCATTTTTGGATTCTGTCTTGAAAATTTCAATTAGTAATAGAAAAAGCTCCAGCATTCCTCTATTTTAAATGTACACTTCCAGGTACACACCACCATGCCTTGCTGTATGATGATTATATCTCAAAACACAAATTAATCACTATCTCATCATATAGACATATACATATACATATATATATATAGTAAAATAAAGAGAACATATCAATTTACATCATAACTTTATCAAGGTATATATATCAAATTTTACTCATCTTAAATTTAAATAAAATATTACAATATTCACCTCAAACTTTAAAAATTATTGTTACAGCTTTTACTTTTTAATAGATTTTTACTTGAAGTGTCAATGAAAAAAAACTGTTCTACGTGCGTCTAATAAATTAAATTATAAAACGTATATACGTGTTACGAAATTGAAAGGATCGGATTCAAACAAAACCGACTATAAAGCTGATTTTTTCTATGTTGAAATTTGTGTATTAATCTAATTTCATTTTGAAATTTTTCACTCTTTTTTCTTTGTTTTTTTACCAAATGCAATTGAATGTCTGGTTGATATGGTGACAAAATAAGGATGAGTAGCTAAAGATGATGATGGAGAGGCATGCAATAGCAGAACCCGTCTTCAACGTTGAACCACACATATACGCACATAATTGGCTAAATTTTCAAAAAGTACGGACCTAAAAGGAAAACAGTCAATAATTTGGAGCAGAGGGCTCCACTTCGTATTACTCGGATGGTGATGCCTTTGAAAAATCCCCCACTGCAACTCTCCCACTCTTACTTTCACTAAACATCATTCATGTTGAGGGTAAAATTATCATACACAGAGAGCAACGTGTGTCAAGTTGTCTGGATCAAATCGGTATGGGATTGGATTATTCGATTCGAGTTGGTCCGCTCGAACCGATGAAAAAAATTGTCTATAAATAAGATGAGAGGTCTAATTTAAGAACAAAAAAAATATATTGGACTTAGCGTCACATCCATGTAAAAAAAATTTGTATGTGCACGTGTTTATCCCAGCCAAGATCTACACCCTCCTCCCTTTTAACAATACTTCACATGTATCTCACACATCAATATGTTTAAACCTCTAATTGTTTATAATATAATATTAATCACTTTAATTAAAGATTGTGGTCTACAAAGCCTCCTCATATTTGAATTTCAATGTATAAAAAGTTATTTGTTTTGATAAGTAGAACATGCTGGCCCACATTACTTACCTTACTTAAAATTAAAGGTTGGATCACCACCACCCCATGATAGTTAAACTGAAAAAATAAAAAAGGGTAAATTATGTTATGTTGTTACATTTGATTCAATCAAAATAAACTGAATTTTGGATATAAATTTATTTTATTAAATCTATAGCATTTTCTTCTTTGAGGGGTAAGGGATTTTATCTTTAATGTTACTAGCTAGTACTGATAGGGAAATTAGCAAACACATCAATCTCAATAAAATATATTATTATAATTTCGATACCTTCATCTCAATCAACATATTCAAATGTTGAAAGGAAAAAACATACATAATTTACGGTTAAAATATATTATAGAAGGCCGTTCACTATACATTCTAAAAATAGATTAGAAACAGAAATTTTGGAAATTATTTTCTAATTCTACCCAAATTTTATTTTATTTTTTAAATCTAAAAGTTGGGGGCAAATTATTTAATTTAATCATCTCTCGAGTTGTGTATTGTATATATATCATATATGTATGCGTATAAAGAAGGGTATGGGGAATATAATTTAATTTAAGTGGGCCCACACACAGTTGGCTAGGTCGTCTTTTTTTTAACTTTTTTTCAAGGAGTTGGCTATAGGTCCTAAATATATAATTTATATAATCCTCATTTTATACCTACTTGAATAAAAGTAAAATTAAAGTCCAAAAAATATCATTAATCATGGAAAATACTCGACTTCTAACCAATAAAGATCTATATGTCTCGACCACCATTGAAAATTTGACAGCTTATTATTTAAAAGAAAATATATCTATTTTTGTATTTCTCTCCCTTAGATGTTGTCAAACATTTAATAGTGGTCAAGATCTAGACAAGTATATTTACCTTTAATTATACTCTTTTTATCTTCCCCAAAGAAAAAAAATTATACTCTTTTTATGCTCCTTGTGTAGGGGAAGAGAAACAAGGAGGGAGGGGTAATTGGGACAAAATTAGTACTTATGAAATTAATTACAAGATATTAATTTAACCATTTTTCTTTATTTAACAAAATATATGAGATTGATAAAATGATCTCTACGTTTCTACAATGGTACAATATATCGAGATTATCTACACTTTGAAACATAAGCTTTTTCATGACTTTACTTTTGGTTTTACCCAAAAAATTTGTACCAATGAAGATAATCGTCTATCATTTTTTCTTTATATTCGTGAGTGTTCGGACCAATTTACATGCACCTCGACTAATTTGACCATGGGACTTGAACTCATTTTCTCTAAATTCTTTGAATTTTCTTATCCATTTGGACCAATATGATCCCAGTACATATGACGGTTAAGAGTCTATTCCTGCTGACAATCCTTAGTTGATGGAAATTTTTTGCCCTATATTAATATGAAATTTTTTACTACTCTCGTTCTTATTCTTTAAATAATATTTTGTTTATTGTCGATCGTATCCACAACTTCTAAAAATAATATAAATGAATGATAGTGTCTAAATATTAATGAAAGAGAATAAACACTAAATTAATTTTTGCCAAAATAGTCAAGACAATATGAACTCTAAACCACGTTGGGGCAAAGGGCCATCACCAACTTGCTTTAGTTTAGAATTCCAATCTACCACATTTTAGGAAAGAAAATTTACGACAGTTAACAAATTTAATATTGAAGGATGATCCATATGAAATTTATTAAAACATCATACATCATAAAGTTTGACCCTTTTCAACGTTGGATAGAGAAAGATAGATAAAGGGGAATAAAAATTTCAAGTTGATTAATTAAAAATATATATATATAGTAGACGCGTACTCTACACATTATATTATATCCTAATTGTCAATTGTTTATACGCATATGTCATCAAGATTCTCCAATATTAGATTAAATTAATACCTCAATCTTGGCCCTTCTTCCACATCGTAACCCACACCCAAATAATTTATATTTAAAATATGTTTTATCTCTACTATTCATATAAAGTATGGTCCGATTATATTTAGTGTGACGACGCCATATATAAATTACTCAGGGTTAGGGACCTAGGGTAGTTATGTGATTTTATTATTTTTTTTTTTTAAGGAATGAGTTAGTTAATAACATCGACCGTAATTAATGAATTGACATGTGTATAAATATTTAATATTTTAGTAAGGGGAGTTGAGCGGTGATTTTTTATTTGTTTTTTATTATTATTATTTTAATTTGTTGGGGTGTGCGAGAAACGTCCAAATTTAGGATTTCAGAGCGACGGAGGATAGAGATGGCGAAGGAAAATGGTGATCTGACTTGAGATATAGGCACTAGGCAGACAAAAACAAGGAAGCTTTCTAGAAATGGATATATAAAAAATAATATATTAATAATAAATTTTATTTTCAGGTGCAGGCCTAACCCTTTTTGGGGGCCCATTATAGGCCCAACAAAACATTATCACTGAAGACTGAAGAGTCAGAAACTCATATCTTCAGTGTCTCTTGTCGACAACCCACCCTCCCTCAGACTAACGCGGCTATGCCTTTCCCTCACGTTAGTAACTTCTCATTATTGCCCATCACAATTTTTTCTTCTTTTTAAATACAATTCTAGACCTATATATTTTTCCAATTTAAATAGTTTCGTGTTTTTTTTTGTTACTCTTTGTTTTTCAAGGTTGATTAAAAAAAAATTGTGTTAGGGATAGTGTTAATCGAGATGCATGCGGTGTAGCATCCAAAGGTCACGTGACTAAAATGAATTACACCCAAAGTCGATAGAGATGTCTTGGGACGAGATACAGACCGCCCACAAGGAAAGTCTGATCACGTACCTAAAGAGCAGAGTAGAAGGATCGGACAAGAACTAGCAATGAGACTGAGAATGACATTACCTTAATCTTTCCCCCACCAATGGAAAAACCGACAGACCAACGCGTTCTAGACGATGGGATGTGCATATGAACCTAAAACAACTTCATCCTCACTCAATGAGACTACTATTTCCTCTTACATCTTATAATCAACGATGTAAAAATGGTATACTACATCATTGCAAGCGAAATCAATATAGTTGTTGGGAAAACATTATATACTCACTACTCTATACAGTTTTTTTAGTGATAATATACTCTATCTTAATACTATGATACATTTTCATCGTCAAAATAATTAACAATAAAGTTACACTACCCTTTTCAAAGTAGAATTATCTTGTCAACTTTATCATTTTACTAACTAGTACTTAGGTATAAGGATAACATTTGTCTATATATTGTATATTTATAGATATATTTTACATTAGTTATTAATGGGTGAAAAAAGTTACATTTAATTTTTTAAACCCATCAATGACACGGTATAAGGAAATCAGTAAAAGTGTTTTTTTAAGAGTAAATATGCATAAAGCCTGATTAGTGAAATAGTGGGGATGAGATTAAGAACACCCTAAATCATGACATTCAAGAATTTTAAACGGACCCAGAATGAGAAATGTAGCCCAACACGGTTTGGATCATCGATATGAAACTAGTCCTGTGTTCTTTACCTATTATTCTTGATGATTGGGCTTTTCGGCCTCAGAATTCCTCAGTTGCCGCTCAATCGTCATCTGGGAGTGGGTTTTCCGATTGAAATTCCCAATTTTTGAAACTCAAGGTGTAGAGTTCAGGCAAACACGGAGAGAGGTCAGGCCAGGCCACAGTCTAATTCTCTCGCTCTCTCCGTTTGATAAAGAGCTCATGTTGAAATCTTCCAATTCTTCTAGAAAGGTATCCAGTTTCCTGGGTTGCTTTCCTTTCTCTATCTTCCCTCTTGAAACTTGATGATGTTAAAGCTCCATTGAGAGTTGTTGTTTACTCCACGTACTTAGCAACGGTATTTTTCTCTTTGTTGTTTGAATTAATTTGCCGTTTTCTGTTTTGTTAGAAGCAGCAAGTGAAGCCAGAAAAAGAATGGCTCTCGGTGAGTTTCAGACCCGAGAACTTCATACCGGGCCTCGTCATTGGTTTCATTTTTGGGTTGTTTTTGGATTTGTCAAAACCCAGTAAAGGCAATGCTAAGAGGGGTTATTTCCTGCCATCGAAGTACCAACAGCTAACTCCAGCCTCAAACGACGGTGATCAGGAGCTCAAATTGGTTCGTCTTTAGTGTTCTAGTTATTGTTGATTTTGCAATCTGTTTTAACTTTTTTATGTAGACTTTATCTGGAGTTATGTTGAGTTGGAAATGATTTATCTTCATGTTTGTGATGGATTATGATCACTAAATAAATGAAAGGGACGAATAAAACAAGAATTTTGGAATATAGCCTCAACTGTGGACAATTAAAGCGCATACAAAGTTCAAAAGGCTTTTAACTTTTGTAGGACTCCAACAAAGTGAACAAGGTTTTGGGTGAATATTGATACTCTTTCTCTAATAAGTTTTACAATATAATCTATGGGGATGGAATTTTTTTCTGTTAAATGGCGTTGAAAAATGGTCTCTAATCTACTGCTCCAATTTTGAGGCTTGAGTTGCTAGATAGAAGAGTTTATGGTCACATTTGAGGTAGGTTGCGTACTAATGTTGGGAAGAGATTAGCTTTTAAGTGAACTGATCTATTTATCACATTAAGCCGTATTCTAGATACAGTGCTTACACCATCTTTCCTATCCCGATTGAGTATCTATGGTCTGTCCAAACAGGATGTAAAGAGGGAATGAGTTAGTCGAGAATCGAAAGGGCCTACTGAAATATGATTCAGCCGTTGCACAAAGTAACCTTTGCTTTTGCAACACTTAATTATATGTATATCTCCAATATCTTAAAATATTGTTTTATTGCTCATGTTAGATTATTTTCCCCCTCAAGCATAGAAAGGAGTTGAGATACACTGATTGCCATGCCTGCTCCTTGAATCATTCAACTTGTATCATATTTCTATTCTTGCTGTCAGGAATCATCTGACAAGTTGATTTTTAATTGTAGGTCTTGGTTGTTAGGCAAGACCTGAAGATGGGTTCTGGAAAAATTGCATCTCAGTGTGCTCGTAAGATTTAAGATTCCGAATTTCATATTTGTTATAATGTGCATTTCATTCAAGTTTCTAGTTATCTTGTTTCATTTATCTCTTATTGTCTCTCCCTGCTGTCCATGCTAAATATTTTACATGTTTTTTTTTTTGTCAAATTGTGAAGATGCTGCCACTGGCTTGTATGCAGAACTAATGCAAAGGTACTCGTTATACTATACTACTTTTGAATACCTCCTTTGATCAGAGCATGCCCTCGCTTATTCCTCCATATCTCTCTCTGTTCTACATATCTAGTGCAGCCACCGAAACCTTTTGAGACAGTGGGAGCTATGTGGGCAGCCGAAAATAGTTGTAACATGCAAGAATCAACATGAAATGTAAGCAGGTGATTCCTTTTCAGATGATGCAACCTCTTAAATAATAAACATATGAAATCTTCTGGTTTCTGAAAGTTGATTATTATTGCTGAGAAGTGGGAGGAGGGGATGAGAGAATGGGGGAAGGATTGTTTATTTAAGTTACACTTTTGTTTAACTTATTTCTTTTCTCAAATCAGGAATAAACTGAAGGATGCAGCTGATAACATTGGCCTTCCTACTTTCGTCGTTGCTGATGCTGGACGCACACAGGTATAAACTTTGTTCAGTGCTCGGAAGAATTTACACGCATTTTAATTAATGCTAGAGAAATGGTGGGGTAAATAGGATCGATAATACTTCACGTGTTGAATTGTTTTGTGTTTATATTTCGGGACATCCGAGCGTTTTTTCACATGCCATACAGACATGCATCTGTATACTGCCCCGTGAAGGGTGATTCCCTTCCATCCTGTTTAGTTTAGCCAAACTCAATATATTGATATTTCAGATGCGCTTCGAAATGCCTATAAACAAACAGCTCAGGAATTGTGTTTGCATTCATTTCATTTCACAAAATACATTCACCTCTCTAGATCCCGATTTCTTGAAGTCGCTTCAATTATATGCAGGTTTCCGCTGGATCAAAAACTGTTCTTGCCATTGGACCTGGTAATGCTTCTTTACCAGATATATACACACACACACACATTCTTCTGTCTCGTGTGAATATACAACACATTATCCTTGTAGGATTCCGGTTGCAATAATATTCATGTTCTCCGTCTCTCTTTTAAGCAGGACCAAAGGCTTCGGTCGATGCGGTAACTGGGAAACTGCGGCTGCTCTGAACCCAGATATCGATAAATCCGCATCTTTCTCCAGCAGCATTCATCTTGTTGAATTCTCAAGAGAGGGGTTGGTGTGGTGCTGGACAAGTTGTAACTGCTGGAAGGATGAATATTATTATGTCTAGACATCGTTAGATTTATTTTGAATTGTTTCTTGGAGTTTGGAGATGTAGGAGTTGGCATTTGGGCTGACATGTTCAGGATGTAATATTTGAAGAATGTTTTAGTGACTAATTGACTGTTTGGCTGAACGGTTTTTTTAAAACAATTGTATGTGTCTGTGGATCGGTCGGATCTACTTCTTTTAAAGTTCAAGATTAAAACTCACATTTTTTTTATTTAAATATGTTTGGAAAAACATGTCCCAATATTAGTTTCGGTTGGATAAAGTCAAGTAGATTTTTTATATTAATTTTATCAAATTAATTATGCAGACATAGAAGTAAGATAACAATTTTGTTCAATTTTATATTATTAATTAAAACTAAAATAAACTTATTCAAATTTAATTGATTAGTTAAAAGTAAAATTATAGATTTACAAAATTACCCAAGGAAACTAATAATTTTTTAAAAATTTGCTCTTCCTCTCTTTCCCTTTCTTCTTCGGCCCAAACAAGAGTAGATGAGATCGTCAATCTCAAAAATTCCTCCGATCCTTTGTTCTTCAACCAAAAAAAAAAAGAATGTAATTTTGAAAATCAGCAAAATAAATGTGGTAGCATGCAATTAAGGCAAGGTTTTAAATGTCGATGTCGATGTCTCAATTTCATGAAAATATCGATAAAATGTTAATGTAGATGAATATTTCTGTAAAAGTTAGAAAAATTAAAAAATCGTAAAAAAATATTTAACAAAGTAAACATTTTCATATTTCTAAATTAGTTAAAAATAATTAATATTAATATTATATATAAATAGTTACATTTTGTTGATATTTTTCATATTTTATCGATTTTCTTGTACTATGATGTAAATGTCGATTTACTCCTCATGTCGATGTCGAATTCATGGAAGCATGGAAATATCGATGGAAATGTCGACGCGTCGATGAATATTTAGAACCATGGATTAAGGAGATGTTTTCTATATGACTTAAATTGAGAAATTCTTAAGAAATTTAAGAGTTTTAGGGCAAGAATGAGGATGGAAAAGTTGTACCCGCCCTTGCCTCATAATACTCCAAGATTTATTTCATAATTAATTCAACAATGAATTAATTACATATGTTTGTTTTTAGTACAACAATTCATAAAACTTAAACTCATGATCTTTTAGTTAGGGATATAATACATTAATTGGTTGAGTTATAATCAGAGTTGGTAAATTAATTATAGGTGTTAATCAATGGAAAAAAAAAATTAATTTAACATTTGGTATGTTTTCATTTAGAGAGGGGGAGGAGGCGTCACTGCTTCGTTGTTGGTAATCTTTCGATACTTACTTTAGTAAAAAATAAAATAATTTAAAGTTGTGATGTATGTATATGTATGCAAAATGAGGCTATTAAATTTCCACCAACGTTTTCACATTTCTCAATTGTACAAGAATTGATAAAATAACAAAATATTACTATTATAGACCTAATAATAATCAACATTTTTATGAAATAATGTTTGAATTAACATAAAATTTAACATTTTATAAAAATAGCATAATGTAAATTAAATTTAAATTCAAATATAAGGTAAGAAACGTCTTAAAAAAAACAAATTTATATCATATTTTTTAAAAAAGAATCGTGACATTTTAAAAAATATATATTAAATATGCTATATGGTATAATTTCTCTCCTCCTTTATGTAATATCTACCAAAATCTCTGACATTTCATCGATATTTATATTTATTTTTCATAAAATTGATACTCAGACGGTCGAACCTCAAGATTTAAACCCTTGGTGCGGACAAAGGAAAAAAGGCAGAGCTGCCAAAACCCTTCTTCTTCGCGACTTATTTGGCGGTTCCTGAAAAACCCTAACTCTCAACTTCTTTTGCTATTCATTTCAAATGGCTTCGCGCTGTCGATCTTTCGCAAGACCAACGATTTCTCTCATTAAATCCACCATCACCAAACCCTCTATTAATCCCAAACCCGCCCCTTCCTTAACTGGCCGTTCTTCGCCCACAATTTCCAGGCAAGCGAGATCATCGAACCCTTTTCTTCCCCATTACTTTAATTTTCTCTTCTTCTTGCGGCTTTTGTTGACGTACATTTATAAGATTGCTAAATAAGATCTTTGATCCTTCAGGTTGGTTCCTCGGTTGGGTTCCGTTCAATCTCTGCTTCCCCTGCACTCGGCAGTTTCTTCGGCCCGGTTGACTTCCTGTCTTGGAGTCGATTCGGTGTCCTCCAGGTCGTTGTCTCAGGGTATGCTCTGCAGTGCGAACCCAGGAGTTTGATATCTCCATTCTTTATAATTTATTATCTGTAAGCAACTTTTTTACTCTTGTACATGAATGAATTTTCAATTGTTTGCTGTTCACCCTGTGAAAAAATGCTTATAATAATAGTTATGATTCTGCCCAAAAATAGTCCAATTCGAAGTTTGAATGTTTAATTTTAATTTTGTTCCATTAGTTTACGGTTTGAACTTTTTCAGAATCACATTTTCCCCCAAGTATTTGATCTTGATTCTTTTCTGCATCTTATTTGAAGCCTGCTGCTCGGCTGACTGTTTAACATATGCTTAGGTTTACATTTGGGTTTCACCATATTTCCTGGTTTTAAGTTATCGAAACCAAATAATGAAATCAACTAAATTTGTAATTAAGTTGACGTTTGACAGATGTCAATAGATACCTGTCACATTCTAAGAATTCTCATTTTCTGCTATTGTGCCAGTATTTGATTGTTATAGCGTTTGGATAGTTTTCACTGAATGCACCCTTCATTGAACCCTTGGTTTTGCACATAGTACAAACTTCTGTGAATTGCCAATCTGCCCGTAAAAGTGCTAGCTTGTACAGAGGCCAGATTTCGTGTACGCCGCGTTAAGTGAGACAGTGATATTTGTTAAAACTATCAAGACGAGTTATGCAAATTCACAATTCTTCTACTTTTGAAAAAATATACAATAACTCACATCAAGACTGTTGGAAGTGTTGTGAGTTCTTGCAAACTAGAATTGAAGTTAGTTATACATACTGGTCCTGTGATATTAATATATGGTTTAAATTTGTTTGGGGGATTTTACCATTTATGTTTAATAATCTTTCTACGAGTTCCTTGGCAACCAAATATTCTAGGATTAGGCAGTTGTCCTGTGATCGAGGTGCTCATGGATATCAATATTAGAAAATGTTTTAAAGTAGTTGTCTATATGTTTGTGCTTTTTTGCTGTTGCATTGTTCTGAGGTTTTTCTTCAGTCCTAATCCAAATTATGCATAGTAGGTTTAGCATCATGGTGATTGATCACTATAACAGAGAGATAGGTTGCTAAAACTATATTCTTTTGGGTAAGAAACGGAGGTTGCTAAAACTGTCGACATATTTTGTCATATGTATGGCCTCCCATATTAGATACTTCTACTTTATCTGACGTCCGTTGTATGTATGACCTCCCATATTAGATTGGAAACTATAGGTGTCATATGCATGACCTCCCATTTTAGATACTCCTACTTTATCTGACGTCCATTCGTGACTCTCAATCAACATTTTATAGAGAGTAGCTTTTCTTTGAAGTAGCCCATCCAGTATAAGTTTATGATAATGTAATTCTGATTTTTCACTTTGTTTCAGAATTGGGTCTCTGTGTGCCGCGATAAGAGATGGAATTTAAGAGAATGCTCTGATCGAAGTGGTGGGGTCCATAAAGGATGGCGGATCAAATATTGTGTTCATCATATTTGGAGGTGCCCCAGTCTCTATTTTGTTGTTCAGGTTGAGGTTATACTGAGACAACTTCAGTCCCGAATGTGTATTTCCCATCAATTACTCATTTTTACCATGACTTTTATTATTTCTGTACTTCAACACAATGTGACCCCTTAGTGAATAAGACTCATTGCTATCGTTTTCAATCCTCTCTTTGATTTACTGAAGGAAACTTAGAAATTCATGAACATTTTGGTATTTTCAAGCCTCTAGGATCAACGTGCTGCTAGTCTAGGGTCCTTGTACGTTCATACGTACCTAAAAAACAAATGTAAAGAATGTGTAGTGCGCACGTAGGTATGTATTAGAGGCATCTTTAATTGATTGTGCGAATATTACCTTAATCTATATGATAAAGTAAATAAATACATGGAGGTATCTTTAGCACGTGAGGGTGTGAGTGGGAAGACGAGACGGTGTCGTCCAAGTGTCCCCCATTTCTGAGAAACTTGTTTGACCATGTCGCTGCCATGTCCGCATGATACCAATTCAGTCATGTGGGCTTCAATCTCTCTCCCCTTATTGGATTTTGTCCTCTGCATTGCATTGCTCGCAGTTGCGGGCGTCTTAAGTTTCCAACTCCTCAATTCTTTCTAATATTAGCAGAAGAGTGTATGAAAAGGCCTTTAGGAAGTTGGAATTTTACTTGGTTCTGAGATGGTAAATCTTGTTGGGCATGTGAGAAGGAAGTTTATGTTATGCGTTATATTTTTGGAAAGGAAACTGATAGGCACATCCAGAGGCAGGCGATTGTCAGAAGAAAGAGTGGGGGGGAGGGGACACAGCTTGCTTGTTTACAGACAATGCTACATACGCAGAAGCATGCACTGCACTGCACTGCACTGTATTATTCATTGGATGGCTAACATTTTTATTTAATTTCAAAATCTTGTGATTCCCGCGGGGCTTGCTTAATTTTGCTCTTTGCTCTCTTTTTAATGTCTGGATTTCAGGATGCAGCTTTTCTCCCTCCTGCTTTATACAGCTCGTTTCAGTACTAATCGTATTCATTATACCATGTTAATGCTCTCCCACTTTCTCTCTTTTTCATTTATTGTTTTTTGGGTGCTTAATGATGAATGATGAGGATTTTCCGATCCACAAGCTCGTTTAATTTCAAGCTTTGAGTTTATCTAATCAAATATTGTTATGCATCTTAATCTGTAGTTGAGCTGATTTGTTTTAAAATAATCAATATACTAATTATTATATATTTTTTTTAAAAAAAGGTATTCTTTGCAGGCTTATCAGCGTCGTCCTAGAGGGGCATGTGATGCGACTGTGAGCAACCAAAAGATTAATCCTGAGGGTTTGGACTTGGTGCTGTATTTTGTTGATAAAAAGTGAATCTGAAATCAGTAATCAATTATTACCAATTATCACATGATTGACACAATTCATTTTTAAACCAATATTCTCTTTGCTGGCATGGCAACACTAATTAATTACCTTACAAACATCATCACCCCTAAACACTTTTAACTCTAACTCCTCTTTTTTTTT